TATGAAATCGCTGAAGTAAGATTTATTGACAAGTTTGGCGGCATTCATCGAGGTCTAAATCAAAAGCACAGATTGCTCATCCACAGCAGGCGTTAAAATAAAACTTTACAGACTCAGAAAGGCAAGCACCACCACAATTACTGCTGTTGTGAACTTTGACCGCGCCTTTCTCATGAACGTCTGAGCATGGGATGAAAATGTCCCAGGTTGGACCTCTTATATTTCACACGGATAGCTTTCTCCTCTCTCTGTTTGTGCATATATTTGCCAACTGAGACTATGTGTCGTGCACTGAATGAAGTGGGTGAAGTCCACAAAAGCTTATACCACAGGACTCCTTTCAGTTTTTGCTGCAAAAACCACAGAAATTACAAGGCAGCTAAGACAATATTCCCCGACTCAGACTTTGGCCCTTGGAACTGGGAAGCTCGGGTCTCTTCACACATCTCCAAATAATTATGCGCGGGGGCAGCAGGGGAGAGGAGAAGCAACGATTCCAAATTGTCCTCCTTTCCACCAACCCTCAACCACAGCAGGGGACCACAGGCCCCAACAGCAATAGCCCAATTCTGCACAGTTCAGCAAGGTAAACAAAAAACAAAGAAACAACCCTGAGGCGTCATAACCATTTTAAAATAGAAAACAGTGTTAGTTAAATTAGGAGAACTGGACAAAAAAACTGGGGGATATAAAGAGCCTGCTGGAGAGGGCATGACCCACCTTTACAAATCAATTTCAGAGTGACATGGGGCTGCCGTCCCCATTTCTGCCAAGCTGGATTCTAACCTTTGCTGGATTCTAACACGTATCAGCTTTCAAGCACTTTGGGTGTATTCTTAGGGATTACTGCATCCCTGGATGGAGAAAGATGCCTACCCAAAACTCAAACAAAGAGCATTGTTTAGCCAAAGTTAAGCAACTAAGTGAGTGACACCAGAGCTGCGCTGTGTGGCCCCTCCAAAGTGCATTTCCACACACAGCAGCACAATGGCTGAAAACTGAAGAACTTCAGAGGTTCTTCTGTGGTGTTAAAAGCAAAATCAGAATGCAGCAGGTTGCCTCTGACCACAGTGGGCTAGTCTCGTGGCAACACAGAAGAGGAACTGGAGAAGGCCAAGCTCTTACCACAGTAGTAAACCTATGTCAGGATTGTAACGCTTCAGACTGCAGGCAAGGGCTTTCTATGATGGAATGCTCTGCTACAGCCAATTCCCTGCACACAGAAAGTGAACAGGCTACGAGAGAATACCCATACCCATCTATGCTAGTCTTCTATGTGCAAGGGCATTTTCAATAGCAAGGAGCATTCTATTACAAGGCACAGGTTTCTCACCCTGAGTAAGCCATGTCCCCACTACCCCCTTACATGACAGGCCCAAAACATCAGCCGGGTGATTTAGTAAGGTAGAACCAGGAGAAATCATCCTCAATCACACACAGCAGTACTGAACAGAACACCTGGCAAGTTGTGTTCGAACACCAACTGGTCAGAAAGAAGCCTTGTTTTGGGTCTAACTCAAATGATTCCTGCATGTTTGGGGTTAACAATTCAAAACCACGAATATCACAGGAGTGCAACATGTCTGTTTGTTGCGGCTTGGCATCCACCACATCCGCGAAAATGACCTACAAATTATGGTAATTACATGCAGCTAATATACGCAGCTTGCTCCAGGCCTCAGGCTTGAGAGACATTTCCAAAGTTGCTTGCCCCCACCCCCACCCTCCTGAATGCACTGCACAAATCACTACATATACTCCGCCTCCCCTTTGCCTTTCACCAAAGGTGCCCAGGGTGGGGTAAGGAGGCAAAGGAGATCCACCAATAGGAAAAGTGGTAGTGGGGAAGGAGAGTCACACTTCTTCAGCAAGCTTAACCAGAAAGCTCTTCCTTGATAGTCATGCTTTGGAGTGTCTGACACTTAAGTAATGCAGCCAGCCGGCTGAGAAAGAAAAGTTTCCCGGAACCTAGAGGAAATCTGTGGAACCTATATTCTAAGAAGCCAAGGGAGAGGGGCAGCAGCCCATCAGAGTCCAAAGCCCTGCTCAAAGAAACTGTTTTACCCACGGTATCTGAAGACGGCAAATACTATTTTCAGTGGTAACTGAAAAAAGAACCAACTTCCAGCTAATGTTTGCTTAACCACTGCTTGCAGAAATTGTTACCCTTTTCTGATTGATCACCATTTCTCAACAAACATTATTTGCCTCAGATGCACTAATCAGTCACGTGTCCACCACCTTTGTATCCTGCCCTTCTTCCAAGGAGCCCAAGGTGGTGGACATCGTTCTCCCTTCCTCTGATTTATTTCCACAACAACCTTGCGAGGTAGCACAGGCTGAGGGTGTGTGACTGGCCCACAGACACACAGGGAGCTTTGTGGCCAAGCAAGCATTTGAGCCTGGGCGTTTCCAGGCCTGGTGTTGAAATGCTGAGACCACCAAACCACAGTTGCTGAGTCTAAATTAGTCCAAAATGTTGCAAGTGCAAAACTTCCTAAAGACATTTGATCTGGAAACTGAAACTCTGCCTTTATCACTTGAACCACTGAACCTCATCTGATGCTCCTTTTCAAAAAAAAATAATAGCAATCTGACATTTGTGTTTAAATAATTGTTGGATATACTTGATGGTCCTACCAGGCTAATTGATTAGAAGTGGAGACTGGTATTCCAGGAATTGAGGGGGGGAAGCTCTGCAAAGTAAATCTTTGGGATAAAAAAGGGAACATCATGTTAGAGAGAAAAAACCTGCCACTTCAGTTCAAACTCTGAATTCATTACTCACGTAAACACATAAAGCCCTTGGGGGCAGGGAGTTATACTTTTTTTTTAAAGCTGTCTCCACACCCTTCAGATAGGAAGAGAATATGAATAATGAGTGGAAAATCACACCACACCAGAAGTGGCATTATTTTTTCGGCACATTTCCTACATGGGAAATATATTTATTATTTTAAAAGAATGGGGAGGGGGGAGGCTGATGTTAGAGAAATCCCACTTCACTAGCAGTGAAAAGCACTTTCATTGTCAACCATATATTTGCCAAGAAACTGAAGAGATGTGAGTTTCTCTTTGCCAGTCACCATGAACACCTCCTGACTGAAACTGCTGGATCCTGTCCCTGAGCCAGCCCTCCCGTGCTAAAAAAAAAAATAGGGGGGGAGGGAAGGAACAAGTACTAGAAAGGAATGAGCGTGATTTTTTTGTCTTTAACTCAAGGCTAAGCTCACCGGCCCCCTTGTATAATTTCACTTCCTCTCCCGAGACTCCATGATGGTTAATCCAGAAGAAAAGCTACCACCCTGAAAATATGGATTACCGCATTTGTCTGTCTACACGAGAGCGAGTTTGAGGAAGGGATGGGGAATCTATTTTTAACCCCCTTGGGAATCCGAAAAGGTGACTGAAGAGTTTACACGAGACATACCCCCTCACAGTCAGCAATGGGGGGTGCAAACCAAATCACTTTTCAAAACCACGTTTTAACCACCTCCTTATGTACAGTAACCCACACATCCCTAAAATAACATAATTGTTGTTATGAACGTTGATTGCCACAAGCCGATAAGCATGAGGCAACCTTGACAGAAAAGCCAGCCATTAACATGACCAAAGCAGTAAAAACTTAAAAAGAACGCAATAGGGTGGTTGATGGGTATAAAGCGGTAGCTACCCATGGTGCCTGAATTTAAAAAGGGGCACTCCAAGTGAACTGAGAAGCCAATCAGCTCATGTTCCGAGGCAGGGGGCACCCCATCCTTTAGACACACTTTAACAACCTCCTTGGGAAGATGTGCAGTTGAAGGCTGGGGTGACAAAGGGTGACAACTTATCCTGCACATTAAGTAGGGAACTGTTTGACCACACTATAGCCCATCCTCACAGCAAACACCACTGACGGCTATCAAGTGACAGTATCCCAAACATTATGTCTTCCTTACCATCTCATTGCAGGAGTCCCGCCCCTACACAAAAATCTATAATGACTAGATATTCCACCTTCTGAGAATGGGAAGGGGGGAAACCATGCCATCTTTTCCGCCACAGTTTAAGCCTGTGAAGAACATACCATATTTGAAAGATGTGAAGAGGCTGGTTGATGTATCAAGTGAGTAACCACAATTCAACCAAGACCCACATTAGAACTGAAAAGTTATCAAGTGATAGTAAGCCCACATTATGCCTTCGTTTGTACCTCCTTTTAAGAGCCACCCACCACCACAAAGATAACCAGACACCCCAACAAGCTCACCTTTTGATTGGAAGAAAGAAGCAAAAAGATCATAGGCTCAACCATCTAGAAGAGAGGGATTATCCACACTTCCACAATCGACTTGTGAAGGCCGCAAGGTAGTTGAAGGTTGTCAAGCATTAAAAATCCACCTCACACGTTAAGCCATAAGGTAGGAGTTCCTCTTAACCACAATATGGTCATCCCCACACCCACAACGAGAACCACAGGACGTTATCAAGCGACAGGGAAGGGACCAAAAAGAGCTTTTATTACCCGTGTGGTTAGATCCAAGTCTGGCAGTGCCTTAGAGACCAACAAGATTTTCGTGGTTTAAGCTTCCAAGAGCCAAAGCTCCTTTTGTAAGACACAAGATACCCTCTGAAACTATTCTTACCGTAGGCTCCGCTTCTTAGAACGAGAGGGAGAAAACCCCACCTTTTAAAACACCCAGTGAAAGCAACAGACTCCCTGAAGGGTGGCCAAGGAACAGCAACCCACCTCAAGCCACGGGGAGGAGGCACTTTTCAACGACACCACAGCTACCCACCCCCCACACGCAGTGCGTACCACAGAAAGGTACGAAAGGCTACTGTCAGCCCCCATATTAGGTCTTACCAGCATCTGATTTTAAAAGCCCTCCCCCAAAACCTGTTACGGGCAGAGACTCCAACCCCCCACATCAAGCCATTCCGAGCCTTTCACTTTAACAGGGGGGGGTCCCCTGAGAATTATGCTTAACGACCAAAGACTCCCACCAACTCACCTTCTTCCGAGAAAGGAGGAGGCTGGCGGCTTCTGGGGGGTGGGGAGGAGGGAGACCCCCCCCGATCCCCCCTTTGGCGGGGAGGGAAGGCGGCGGGAGTCTCTCCCCCTCCCTCTTCACTCTTCTACCCCCCCTTCTTCTTCGGGGGCCTCATGCCTCGGCGACAGCGGCCCCCCTGTGGGGGGAGAGCATGCCTCCCCCCCCTTCCTTCCTTCCTTCCTCAGACCTTACGGCAGCCCGACGGGTTGAAAGACCCCCAACGAGGAAGGGCTGAGGGGCCCGGCAGGTGCTTGGAGACTGCTGTGAGGGAAGCGGGGCGGTGGGGGTGGAACGGGAGGCTCCGCTGCCCAGCCCCGAGGCGGACGGGAAGAGAGACGGTCCAATTCACTCACCCTCCGCACAACTCCCACAGCCCGGGCTCAATCTCGGCCTCAGCCTCTCCTGCATCACTTCCGGGGGGTGTCAGCCAGGAGTGCGGCGAGAGGAGAGTCAGCTGGCAACGCCGTGACGTAGGCCGCCTGGCCGTCGGACGTGCCTGACGCCGCGCGCAGCGTGAGGGCAAACGGGTTTTCCTGGGCTGGTTTCTCTCTCCCTCCTCCTCCGGCGGGCAGAGGGGAGTCAAGGGAGAACGGGCGGCGGTGGGCCGAACTAATCGGGGGAGGGGAGAGGGAAAGGGCGAAAGCGAAGAAAACTTTCGTCGGAGAAAGGCCCCCGGGGGGGGGGCGTGCGTATGAAAAGCGGTAAAGAGGCCAAGGAGAGTGTTGGGGACAGGCGAGGCAGTTGCTGTGACGTGTCACCCCCGCCCTGCTACTCGCGTTGGTACAGGCCGGGCGGCTCGCGACGCTCCCCAGAGGCTGGCCCCGGTGCTGTTCCTGCCCTCGGCGCTAGGGGTCGTGAGAGCCTGCCCCGGCCGCAGCGCTTAAAATGGGCGCCAAAGTGCCCGCGCGAGGCGCTCGCTCTCTTTCCCCCTCACCCGCGGTGGGGGGAGGCAAGCACGAAGGGAGGGGGCCTGGCGGGAAATGCGTGCATGTGGGTCGCCCCCCCCGCCGCCCATGACGGGGGATTGCGCTCCCCGAGCTCTTTCTTCGCACCCCCCCAATAAAACTGACTCCCCCCCCAAAAAAAGTTCAGGAATGTGTTAGGTTTTTCTGTCCTGCTCTTTCTCCACGCAGGGTGGCCGCTAGGTAGTTTATCCTCTCAACATCTCTTGGAGGGAGTCTGGGAGTTTTAGTAGTCCCACCACACAACATCCCTTTGAGGTAGGCTGGGCGACTAGACCCTCAGGAGGACTCTGTGCGGTAGGCTGAAAGTGGGTAGACTGAGGTGATGAGGCAGAGCTCTGAGCGAGAGCCCAGCGGCAGAAGCGACACATACCGACATTTCACAAGCAGAAATACGCACATGTTGACAGCCATCATTGTAGTAGGCATGATCTTTGCCCTGGCACCCTGATGCCACTGTTCTCCATTGTGGAAAGCTTTATGCCTTGTACACAGTACACACACACACACTAATTCACCTTTGAGTCCACTGGCACCTTTTAGACCAACAAAGCTTATTACTGGGCATAAGCTTTCACGTGCAGGCACCCAGAATTAAACTTCTGCCCATAATGAAACTGTGTTGGTCCTAAGGGTGCCACTGGACTCCAGGGGTCGTTTCGTAGAAAAAGAGCTAGGGGAACTCATTAGCATAACTCATTACCATATGCCACACCCCCTGACATCACCGGAAGTGTGTCATAAGGCCACACCCCCTGACATCACCGGAAGTGTGTCATACGGCCACACACCCCGCCCCCAACGGTCCCGGCCATATGCTAGTAGGCTGTGCTGTCAAGGGTGTGTCCTAATATGCTAATGAGTGTCTGCTGTTGGGTGTGGCCTATTATGCTAATGAGGTCCTGCTGGGCTTTTTCTACAAAAAAAAGCCCCAATTAAACTTATGCCCATAATTAAACTGTGTTGGTTGGTCCTAAGGGTGCCACTGGACTCCATCTTTGCTCCCTTGTTTCAGACCAACTTCAAAGAAGTGTGCACCCACCCACACGAAAGCTCATGCCCAGAATTAAAAATTTTTTGGTCTTCAAGGTGCCACTGGACTCAGGCCTTCTTCTGCTGCTTCCGACGAACGCGGCTACCCCACCTGAACGTATTTACCTTGTTGCTGCCTCTCGCCCCCATCTTTCTGAAATCCTCATCTATGGCACTTGGAAGATGTCGGGCAAAGTCTCTCAGACAGTCAGAGCTGGAGGGTCGCACTTTGTTGGCATGGCACTGGGGTCATGCCCATGGGCTTTGCCCCACCACAGCTTCTGCTCCAATAAACGTTTCGATCCTTAACTTTCTTGCTGCCCATCTAGAATTTGTCACACACCACGGACAACAGCCCCGGCTAACAAATTTCAGCAAGCAGTCCTGCCCTCGCCACTAGGGGTCGTGAGAGCCTGCCCCTGCTGTAGGGCTTAACATTGGCGCCAGAGTGCCAGTGCGAAGTGCTCTCTCTTTCCTCGCCCGATGGAGGCAAGCACAGATGGAGAGAGTCTGACAGGAAAGCCTTCCCCTGCCGCGGCACTTAAAGTTTGGTACCAAAGTGTCAGGGTGAGGCGCTCTCTCCTTTTGAGCAAAAAAAAAGGACAAAAGAGCAAAACTAAAGACAAGGCACTAGAAATTTGATTTAAATGGATGGGGTCCCCTGGAGCAAAGGACAGCACAGTAGCGCAGCTTTTTCATTCTGCCCCCACAAGGTGACAGATTTTATTCCTTCCCTTGACACCTTGAGAAGGAAGCTAAAACCCTGAAACTTGGAATCGGAGACTGAACTCTGGCAACCTTAACAAAGGTCCCAGACTTCCCAGACAGAAGTCTTTTCAGTGAGGGATGTTTGCAAAGCCTGTGAATGTTTTTTTCCATAGTGCTGTCCTTAAGAGTGCTAGTCGTATTTATCTGTTTATTTTCATTTTTTTCCCCCGAAAAAACATGTTGATTCACTCGTTGACAATCAAAGCTTGCAACAGGCCGCAGAGAAAAACAGCTAGAAAAACAGAGCAGTTCCATGAAGAGTTTCTCCAGTCTGGACAAGCTCTGCATAGGACTGTACTGTGTATTTCCCTGCTCGTCTGCATCCGTTGTCTTTGTGACGCTATTTTAAATGGTCCCAGTCAGCATCAAACATTCATTCATTTAAATGGATGAAATTATATGCAAATCAGCAGCTTAGAAATGGAAAGAAACGGGAGAGTATAATGGAGCGCTTATCCTCAGGGGTCTTGTTGTAGAAAAAGAGCTGCCGGAGCTCATTAGCATAACTCATTAGCATAACTTATTTGCATATGCCACGCCCCCTGACATCACCGGAAGTGACAGAAGGCCACACCCCCTGACATCACCGGAAGTGTGTCAGAAGGCCCGGCTACTTACCCTCCTGCTTCATCCTCATTCCCAAACGGAATGAGGATCGAAGCAGAGGGCGGGGTAAAGAAGGGGGCGGGGCTTCACCACGTGACCGCCCCGCCCCCTAGAGGTTCTCTTCCGGAGCTCCGTACCTGAGAGCTCCCCCCCGACTAGAGCCCTGCTTATCCTAAAACGTAAGCCTAAACTTTGAAGAAATGTGCAACGTGGAAAGAAGGATAACATTGCCTGCCTGCTGCATGGTGGTTTTCCCAACTGCAAGCCACAAACCATCTGCATTATCAGAGCATCTTCTGAATGAGCTCTGTGAATCCGAGGCTGTACTCAGAGATGTCCTAACAAATCATAACTTCTAACTGTATTGAGTCACAGTGACTCAACAGCTTACAAATCCAAGTGTAGCAGGTGGAATTTGGACAGAAGTCCTGTGAAACCGCATTTTAATTTAACTACCTATAGCTTTGGTGCAATCATCCAGATGTGGGCTACTCCACTAACATTGGTTAGATGGAATATATCAGGCCAAGATCTCCTATTGTGGGTTGAAATTGGTGCATTAACCACAGTTAGTCCTTTTGAGTGATGTCTGAACAAGCATGTCCTGGTTTAATCCTGACTTCCCTATAGGGTTGCCAGCTCTGGGTTGGGAAACACCTGGAGATTTTGGGGGTGGAGCCTGAGGAGGGCGGGGTTTGGGAAGGGGAGGGACCTCAGTAGGGTATAATCCCATAGAGTCCGCCTTCCAAAGCGGCCACATTATCCAGGTGAACTGATCGCTGTCGCCTGGGGATCATTTGTAATAGCGGGTGATCTCCAGCCACCCCCACTTCACTGGCACCTTCCTCACTGCAGTGCAGGCCATCCAGATCTCTGCAAGAGAGGCAGTAAAAGGGCAAAGGCACCATTTGTGTAGACAAACAAGAATCTGAAGGAGCTGAATCCTGTTTTCAAGGTAGCCATAGTTAAAGTAAACCATGTTTTCAATTTTCATGTTATGTGTGAACTGAGCCTGTGCACAAGCTATGATCTCCAAAAGAAATGGGGAATAATTGCTGGACTCTGTTATATTTGGGTCACCTCCTAGTACTCGGAAATGTCTATTCTGTTCCATAGACTAAAAGCCAATCAATGAAGAAGAAGCGTGAATCTGTCTTGTTTTTGTGTTACCGTGAATGCTTTGTTACTCTACAGACTGTCATTCATTTTGTTAAAGAGGCCAGAGAGACTGAAACTTCCTATTTTAAAATAATTTCACCAATTACGAGAAAGCACCCTATTTAAAGACACAGGAAAATACATACATGCCTGTGATTCTCTTCTCTTTTTTCCCTAGTGGCTAACAAATCTTGTGTCCACATTGCTTTTGGTTTCATGTTCCGGTGTGGAGTTCCTCGTGATTTATTTTAACAATGGTGAGAGAAGCAAGGTTACAGATGATCACTGAAATCCTAGTTTTCCTCCACAAATGCTGGTTTAATTGCCTTAGCTCTGCCCAGGTACCTCTGTAGCTCAGAGGCACACAAAGGCTGAACCTGGCACAAGCCAGGACACCTGGATCCGTACATGACATGAGATTACAGTTAACACTCGCTGCGGTTAATGAACAACTGCAGATCATGGTGTCAGATCCTTGCTTGATGGATCCTAATTAACCTTCTTTTGCAGAGTATCCTGCGCTCACACAAATCATAATTAGTTTAATCACATTAATTATACTTTAATTAAACCAGGTATTGCATTATGTCTAAACTGACCCATAGGACTGGGAGGGAGAGTAATGTGAGCTCAACTTGTTCCTAACTGTTTCAATTGCCTTGTAAAATCAGGTGGACACATATCTATATGAAAACGGCATCATATAATCTGTTAAAACCAGATTGATGCTTGTCATGAAAAGGAAATAAATGCTTTTCACTATGAGATACTTAGATTGCACTTGATGATCCCTCACAGGAATTCTGCACCCAGTGCACCCACCAACTTTCCCTTGGGTCTCCTGTTTATCCCACAGATGGATTGGACTTCTAGTTACAGTGGTGTAACGGGCAATGACATAAAAGATTATCTGTCACCATTCTCAGCTGCAGAACAATTGTGGGTCATCACTTTCGCTAAGTGTTATAATTTAGCTCTCAAGACTGCAAAAATGGAGGGCGGGGGAGGTCTGTGTTTTGGAACAGAGTCCAAGAGTGGTATTAAACAGACACTTAAGAAGAAGAGCCAGAGGAGGTTTTCAACCCAGGGGCAGAGGGTGCTTTGAATGGGGCTGTTTCCAAAGCCTGGATTCAAAGGCAGCCACACATCCTTTCCTTGCTCTGTTTGACACATGTGGGTCCCCCTCATCTCAGTGTTATGTGCAGCTGGTTGGAGAAGCTGCTGAAAAATCAAGGGGTAGGAGCAAACACCAGATGTCTGCACCCTCCCCTTCCATGCCTGTCCCTTGCTCGTGGCAAGTGCCACTTTACAGGTCTGTTTTTGGACTATCCACCCAGGAGAGGCCTGCAAGCTATGGGAGCTTTATATCAGCAGTGTGACCGGATCAGCAAGGGGCATCTCCTCCAGGTTTATCTGTCCCTCCCCCGTGACAGGGATGCCCAGCATCTGGTTTCTTGGCATCAGCTTTCACCGATAGCCAGGAGTATGCTTTCCGCAGAACTGCAGAAAGTGAATCTCTCTCCAAGGCATTTGCAAAGCTGAAGTGGGCATTCCTCAACTTTTGCTCCCCGGCAAATGAATACTTTGCCCCTACAGTTAGGGTCAGCTTTGCCATTAAGCATTTACGGTCAGGCCAGCTCTACTCCAAACTGGAAAATATGACATTAACAATTCACCGAAAGAGGTGTCAGCTGTTCTTTTAAATAATGGGCCTTGTACCCAGGGAATTTCTGATGATGCATCAGTGTCGGATCCATTTCAATCTGGCTTCCGCCCCAGCCACGGGACGGGGACAGCATTGGTTACCCTCACGGACAATCTCTGCAAACAGCTGGATCGAGGCGGGTTGGCACTGCTGATACTACTCGATCTTACAGCAGCATTCGACACAGTCGACCACGACCTGTTGACTCACTGCCTCACCGAGGCTGGAATTCATGGGATAGCCTTGCAATGGCTTACCTCATTTCTCCATGGTCAGGGACAGAGGGGGGCACTGAAATGTGGGGTTCCTCAGGGGGCACTTCTCTCCCCAGTGCTGTTTAACATCTATGTGTGCCCCCCTCGCCCAGCTAGTGCAGAGATTTGGGCTGGGGTGTCATCAATATGCCGATGACACCCAGCTATTTCTGTTGATGGGTGACCAGCCAGATACCACTCCCGGGAACTTAGCTGAGGGTTTGGTGGCTGTGGTGAGATGGTTAAAGAGTCGTCTGAAACTGAATGCAGGTAAGACGGAGGTTCTATGGCTGGGGGGGGAAGAGCCTCGATTGGGTTGCCAGCTTCCGACTCTTGAGGGTGTGCCTCTATCACCAGCACAGACTGCAGGAGCCTAGGCGTGACCTTGGACTCCTCCCTGTCTATGGAGGCGCAGGTTGTGAAGGCTGCCAAGCTGGTGTTTTCCCAACTGTGCCAGGTTAGGCAACTGGCCCCCAACCTAGTCATGTTAATCCATGCAATGGTCACCTCCAGGTTGGACTATTGTAATTCGCTCTACGCAGGCCTGCCCTTGTGCCTGACCCGGAAGCTCCCAACTGGTCCAAAATACAGACGTGCGGGTCCTTACCGGGACCTCCTGGACAGCACACGTTCAACCTGTGCTACGCGAGCTGCACTGGCTTCCAGTGGAGCACCGCATACAGTTCAAGGTTCTGGTTTTGACCTTCAAGGCCCTCGGCGGTCAGGGTCCTACATACCTTTGGGACCGCCTCTCCCAGTATGCCCCTGGAAGAGGTCAGGGAATAAGAACTTCCTGGTGGCCCCCAGCCCAAGAGAAATCCAGCTGTCCAGTTTGGTGTAGTGGTTAAGTGCGTGAACTCTAATCTGGGAGAATCAGGTTTGATTCCTCCACTTGCAGCTGCTAGATGACCTTGGGCAAGCCATAGTTCTGTCAGAGCTGTTCCCTCAAGGACAGCTCTGGAAAGAGCTCTCTCAGCCCCACCTACCTCACAGGGTGTCTGTTGTGGGGAGGGGAAGGGAAAGGAGGTTGTAAGCCGCTCTGGGACTCCGAGGGAAGGGTGGGGTATAAATCCAATCTCTTCCTCCTCCTTCTTCCTGGTGGAACTCTCTGCCAGAAGACATCCATGCCCTGCGGGAGTTATTACCTTTCTGCAGGGCATGTAAGGCAGAGGTGTTCCGCCGGGCCTTTGGTTGAGGAGAGCAATGGGGCACTCTGGTACTCTCATACACTTTCCCCCATCCATCGTAACCCCTCCCCCTAGGGAGGCTGGGGATCTGAAATGTTTTCTGCCATCACGTATGTGGATATGTACATTGTTCTTACCTACCGATTATTGGTTGTTTTAATCTAGATTTTAATCTGATAAATGTATATTATATGTTGCAAACTGCCCTGGGTCCTATTGTAGGGAAGGGCGGCCTAGCACATGTAATGAAATAAATAAATAAGGGAGCGGCTTGAACCTGGTCCCTCCTGTATAATCTGACAGTTTATGTATATACATTGTGATGGATCGGTACACTAGCTCAACAAGTTTACTAGATCCCCCACAGCGGGACTTGACTGGTTTCTGACTGGACTGGTTTCTAGGTTGTGCTGAAACACAACCATCCCCCCCCTCCCCCGGCCGGCCTCCTGATGTCCACAAAGACTGGATAACATTTGCCATCTGTGCCTTTGGACATGACAATAAGTAATCTCTGCTAAAGACAGCAAGAAAGAGACTATTATGTTCATTTTACTGAGAATCTCTGTCTGAGATCTCAAAACAACAAAAAAACTGTAAGTCTTTCGTTTACAGAAAGGACTGGCATGAAAAGCCTCATAGTGCTAGACAACAGAAGACCTTCTGTTCTGGGACGTAGGATGGATCTGTGTAGCAAATTCTGATGTGTAGCTTTTGCGCAAAACTCAGTTGGATTTCCTAGGCTTAGATCCCAAATCACCCCGTTGAAAAGTTCAGGCCAGTTCTACTCCTGTGTGGGAAGAGTCCCCTGGTTTCTGCCCCCCTCCTCACCTGCAACCCCCTCCGTCTCATCAAGCATCACCCCAGAGAGTCCCCAAAGCCCAGCAGTGGTTTTTCAGGGGGTACCTAATATTCTGTCGTGGGAAAAGGAATGGGAATTGGGATCCATCAAACAAGGATCTTTGAATCCAAGTCAGTGATTTTGATGGCCTCTCACCTCGTTCCTCCCCACGGTCACATTGCAGCCCTAAAATACAGTCTTGTGGCCTTTCAGCCTTTTCTCTGGCACAGATGTCCATTTTTGGACACCTTGGAAGTCTTTGGTTTGTAACTCAATGTTTTAAAATTCCTAAAGCTAAAAGTCATATGTCTGGCAGTCTGGTCAGAGGGAGTCCAAGGAATGTGTCTGAGGGGCCAAGCGGCAGTGTTGTGTGTTTGGTCTGACAAGGTCAATGCTGTGACTTCGAAGCAGATGCAACTGTTATGAGCTCAGCTGGACTTGAGTGGAGCTTTTCGTTTCCTGGGTTCTTTGGCTGTCGTGAGGATAAAATGGAGAACACGCATGCCTCCTTGGCTATATTAGAGGAGGTCAGAAAGCTCACAGGTCTGAAGGCGGAACCCCCAGACCTTTATCCCCTCCCTTTTGGGAAGGTTCTCCTGGAATTCTGGGCTCCAGAAAACCTCTCCTCCCTCCCATCCCACCTGGCATCTTTTGAAAGAGATTGCTGAAAAGGGAGGACGCGCTTCTTCCATATAGGTAACTTCTGGCGCTTGGAGAATCTGAGGTGGAGAGTCACCTTGTGATCCAGCTGTCCAAGTTCTGTCTGGAGCCTGGGAAGGCAACCCAATGCCTGTTTGAGTTATTGCTATTAGCTGGCCCAGAGTACTACTTTAATTTTGTTAAAGAGCCCAGATGGTACAATGGTTGGGGGAGGGGGAGAGTCCAGAGTGAGGTCAGGAAGACCCAGATTTATACTCCCAACTCAGCCATGAAATTCACAGGCTGACTCTGGACCAGTCATCCAGGGGGAAAGTTTTATGTACCAGGTGCCAGTATCTTTGGGTCTGGCATATATGTCTGGATGGAAGACCGCCTGGTTAACTCCATGTATGCAGCTCTAAGGTCCTTAGGGCTGGTCCTGTAATAAAGGCATGCTGAATTTGGCCTCGCTGTTCTGTTTCTGCTCTTCATGCCCTGACCTGGATAGCTCAGGTGAGCCAAATTTTGTCATATCCTGGAAGCTAAGCAGGGCTGGCCATGGTTAGTTTTTGGATGGGAGAACAGCGGAGATATCCAAGGTTGCTACCCAGAGGCAGGCAGTGGCAAACCTAGGGTTGCCAAGTCCTGGTAGGGAAATGCCAAGAGATTTTGGGGGTGTAGCCTGGGGATGGTGGGATTTGGGGAGGGGAGGGACCTTGGCACAGAGTCCATCCTCCAAAGCTGCCATGTTTTGCAGGGCAACTGATCTCTGTAGTCTGGAGGCCAGTTGTAATTCCAGGAGTTTTCCAGGTCCCACCTGGAGGTTGGCAAACCTACATCTGAATGTATCTTGCCTTGAAGCCCCTACAGGGTTGCCATAACTTGGCTGCGACTTGATGATAAAAAAAAACACCAACGTATGCAGATTTATGAGAATGAAGACACAGGTTGAAGAAGCAGCTGTCTCCTTGAGCACAGCTGCTGGAGAAAATGCTACCCAGCAGTGATAAAGTGTAGCTCTAGGAATTGCCAGAATCTCCAGTTTTACCATGGAGTTTCTGGCGATTCCTAGAGCTACCCTTTGTCACTTCCAGGTAGCTCTAGGAATTGCCAGGAACTCTGTGGTAAGAACTCCTGTATGTAGACAAGGCCTAGTTTTTCTTTATCATTTTTCTCTTGAGAAGCTGCCACCCCCACAACCCACCCACCAGTTGCCTGGCAACCCTACCTGGAGAAAATGGCTGCTTTGGAGGCGGGATTTGATGACATTATATCCCACGTAGACCCCACCCTCCCCAGGCTCTACCGCCAAATCTCCAGGAATTTCCCAACTCGGATTTGGCAATGCTACATGAAGGAGGTCAGCAGTTTGGGCCTTGGAAACGGATGAGTTTGAACCAGAGAGCTTCTCTGGAAACCCAAGCTTAAGCCTTTGCAGGTCACAGAGACATTTTTGTGTATTCTTGAATGCTTGGATCATGCAACACATAACTGAGCAGCTGGGTCCTCCGCCCTCCCCTTGGTAAGCAAAGATAAATATTCTGTATAGTTGGCTTGTAGCTTTTTGCTGTTCTGGTTCCTCTCATGTTCACCAGGAGAGCCAATAAAATGTTTGAAAATTAATTAAGGCATGTGTGAAAACACCCCATCTGTCTGGAAGCCTCCCTCCCCCTCCACCCGAACGTCTGTGGGTCTGTTCCTTTTCCTCTAGATGACACCGGTCACGCGTCAGGAAGTCCTTGGACTTTACCGCAAGATATTCCGAATAGCCAGAAAATGGCAGTCTGCATCCGGACAGATGGAAGAGACCACAAAAGAAAAACAGTATATTATAAATGAAGCTAAAACATTGTTCCAAAAGAATAAAAATGTAAGTGAACATATTTCTGGCTGGCTGTGCCGTGCTATGCTGTTGAAATAACGATATTTATGTATTAACAGAGACATGGCAGGAGAGTGGATCCCTTCCACGCTTGCCAAGCCTCCGTGCTAAGTGGGGCTGCCGCAGTTCCAAACAAAAAAAGCTTCAAAGGAATGAGTGTGTGTGTGCGCGCGCATATGCATGGTGGGGGGGGGGTCAGCAAATTTCCTGCTAAGCGACAGAAGCCTTTCTATCCCCCTTACCAAACCTGCCTAGTTCAGTGGCTACAATTATGCATCCAAAACATATAAGACAAACAAATACAGGGGTTTGGGGGTTTGGTTTGGTTTTTACCTATTTCTTTTGAATGCTGCTGTGAAAGCTGCAGCTCTCCTATAATGAGCATAGTCAGGCCTGCTGTGAGACTAAACATCCTTAGGTTTTGAAAATAAAGTAATGTTTAGAGTGAATTTAATATACATCAGATAGAACAGAGCCTTCAGCAATGTATACTGCGGGGGGGTGAGAATAGGTTGGGACTAGGGAGTGTGGTGGAATGCGCCTGCTCTGGCCTGCAGGCCCTGTTCCACCCTGCCTCTCTGGGGGTTTCCTCACCATCTGGAGAGGTTTTCCTTCCACTCTTGGGTAGACCCACCACCACCACCTGACCCTTTGTACAGAATTGCCCACTGGGAGGGTCAGGACTCCCACCTTCCCTTCCAAGTTCTGAGACCTTGCCTTTGTGTCTCCCACTGCCCAGCACCTGGTCACCATGGGGACAGATTACTGCCTTGTGTGCCCTAGGAGGAATAGCCACTTGCCAACTGCCTTGCTTCCTCCTGGCACTCCTTTTAAAATAGTGTGTCTGAGGTGGTGCTGCTGGCGTGACCTTGGGTCAGTCACAGTTCTCTTAGAGTTGTTCCGGAAAGGGCAGTTCTAAAAAGAGCTCTCTCAGGCCCACCTACCTCATAGGGTGTCTGTTGTGGGGAGGGGAAGGGAAAGGCGATTGTAAGCTGCTCTGAGACTCCAGGTAGTGAAGGGCAGGGTATAAATCCAATCTCCTCCTCCTTCTATGTGGCACAGAGAACCAATCCCAGCATCCACATTATAAAGTATTTATTAAAAAGAAAACGTTTACAATCATACTTTTAGCACAGCACCACATTGACCAAGGGATACCAAAAGAAATGGGAAATATATATATGCCCTATCAGATGTTAAAATAGGACAGGCTCCTTGTGCTTAGGATGTTACAGATCCCTATAGCGTTACCATTACCTTGAAGCTTGCTCCAGCTCTTGAGGTGAGCACATGGCTGATGGCTGCCTTGCCAGAGGAGAGGTCTGTATGTGCTCATGGACGCAGCACCCAAGGGGGAGAGAGCTCCTTCCTGTGGCAATGAATTTTTATCATATCTATTTCTCCACCCACTGACAAGGTCACGCCAGGTCAAAGAAGTGTTTCCTAGGGCTTCTTCCTGGAGTTTATTCCTGGACCCATTCTAACCTTCCATTCCTCCAAATCTCTGTTCCTGCTAGGAGGAAGGGGGAGATCTTAACCCACCCATTATCTCTCCTGCTAGATCTATTGACATCTGAATTAAGGTGTCTGGAAAGCAATTACACAGGCTTTCTCCTTCCATGCCTGTTCTCTGCCCAGAGGGCGGGGAAACCCCTTTTAAAATGCACACACTGGAGGCTTTGCTCATCTCAAAACTCCGTGGAGAGAAACTGCATTTCTTCACAGGGAGCATTATGGTACACCTATTTTTGCATGAAATCTAACATATATTGGCAAACAAATCAGGAACTCCAGCAGTTCACACTGGCAACATGGGAAGGCTCATAACATATGAAAACAAGCAAGCGGCAGGGGGGGATCTTTGTACATCCACACTTTTATGGGAGAACTATCCTCCCAGGTATTCATATCCTTGGGGTTGGGGTGGGGTATTCCTGCCTGATCTTCTTCGTGGTCCCTGTGCTTCACACCAATGGGATCTAGTGCGCCTGCGCTAATCCTGAGCATGCTCAGTTGGGCCAGGCATGAAAATCCTTTTAAGAGAGCTTGCTAGGCACCGGCAGATCCAGCGCAGGCGCACTAGATCCCATTGGTGTGAATGCACAGATGACCACTCGAAGATCACCAGTTACTGGTAAGCAACGTGTTTTTCTTTGTATGTCCCTTACTAGTTTGCTCAGAAGTCAGACCTGCAATTCCAACACAAGGATGGTCCCAGCCACACTGGTCAGGTGTGGCTTGTTAATTACTCCACAGTAGAAGGAGGGACTGGTCTGAGTGAATTTAATATTAATTAACCTTCAGATGGCTACTCAGGTGGTTCTGGAACTGATTCCCTATTCTTATGACATAAATGCTGAGGAACAATCCAGACAAAGCCGGGTCTGTGTCACAGGCCATTTCCGCAGTTATGAAATTCCCCACATTGAAGTTTTTAAAATTGCACGTTACATGAAATTTTCCACAGTAGATTTTCCTCACCAGGCACCAACCCAAAGTTTTCCCTTTTTACCCCGCATTTTCAGAATCCCCAGTTTTAGCGAGTTCCGAAATCTACTGCGGAGTTTTTAATGCACAGTTTTTAAAACGTCAGTGCAGGGAATGTCGTAACTGCGGGAATGGTCACATTTAACCACGTTCTTCAACCCCGCTGATTTCAGTGGCACTTGCAGGCATCTATATCCTCTGGAATGGGCTCAGTGACCTTGATCCAGGCATCTAAGGCTTCTTTTGCCACTCCAGGAATACCCGGGGGCCCTATTCCTTCTGCAGTTTTCGTCAGAAAAAGTTTGTAATGCAGCCGTCAGTGAAGTGTCTTAGTAAGTAGTAGGATCCACCAGCCGCGGCTTCAGGGCAGCTGAGATGGGAGGGGACCCCTGGTCATATCGGGCGGCACTGGGGAAGTCGGCGGGCGTCAGCACACGCAAGGGCACAGCTGCTGATGAGCTAGACCCCCCTTGCTTGACATCTGCACCCTGCAGCCGTGCCAGGGGCAACCAGTCAATCACCACTCTAGCACGGTTGTGACACTGCAGCAGTACCAGGGCCCAAATTTCCAGTGAGCTGCTCCACTGGCCATCATCGCCTTTGTGTTTGTCGACAAGAAGACGCTTTTAATCCATTTAGCCAAGTCAAAATGAGTGCCAAGGTTGACTCGTAAAGGACAATGAAACGGAAGAGTGCTCGTATGAGATCGATGTCCTTACTTGGGTTGGGGAGGAGATAAGAAAGGAAATTTGCCGGGGGCTAGCTTGAGTCCCAGGACTAACACTTGTGTGTTCTGTTTGTAACTGTGCTTCCTTCCTCCTGTCCCATTTGACCAGTTAACAGATCCTGAGCAGGTTAAACAATGTATAGAAGAGTGCAAGGCCAGGATCGAGATGGGACTTCATTATCGCATCCCTTATCCAAGGCCGGTGAGTAGGAATCCTCCTGATACGGATCTCCACTGTGACGTCTTCATGCCCTTACTCAGCAGGACTCTGGTGCCGGCTAGGCAGAAGCCGCTGAGGAGTGCCGTTTGCTGTTACCTCCTGCAATTAATTTCGCAGCCCATAAGTCAGGGCTTGGTTGAATCAGAGCCGTCGTTGCTAACCTTCAAAGCACCCTTCCAGAATAATTAACACAACACTTTCAGTAGCACGGTTTGCTTTGAGAGTCAGGATGTTTGTTCAATTACAATATAGCATTAATTTCCAGATTTGTAGACATCAAAGGACCTGAGTCATTCATGCCTGTACACGTCCTGCTGCCAGAGTGGTGGTGATCTCTCTATTTGCCGGTTCCCACAGAGCATTAAGTGTGGCTAGTCCACAGACCACAGCTGGAAAACCACTTGCCACTCAAGATACTGTTGCAAAAATAGATGCTACGTACCTATAAGGAAACCTCACAGCTGTCTCAGTATTCAGCCTTGTGGCGGGAATGCATGAAGCTGTAGACATGTGGGATTTGAAGACATTATGTGCAGGGCTAGAACCTAGGACTCTGAAGCTAAGGACAGGTTTTAGTAGATGACCCCAAAGGTAAGAGCCAAAGAGACCCAAGGCAAGAATCCATCTCATGTCTCCAAGAGAGCACCCTGCTTCTGTGGCCTTTTGTGTTCCTTTCTTTGCTAGTTTCCTGTGCATCGGGAGAAAAGCAGGGCCGTGGCTTAAGGACTTCCCCAGAATGGAAGAGGCACAAATGGTGTGTCCCTTCCAAGTGGGAGGAGTGTCCTAGGGAAGCAGCAGGGCCCTCCATAGTCATGATCTGTCGTCCACCCTCTTTTCCAGTCACTCAGGGAGTGAAAATCAGGAGGTCACATCTCTTGCGCTGAGTTTTTGGGCCCTTCAAAAATCAGTAGGCATAGCCTTGCACTGACATGAAGGGCAATGCCTGCTTCTGGTGCACAACTCCCACATCCCCAGGTCTTCTTAGTTTAGAAATCTAAATTGTGGACAGAGAGAGAATCTATGTTTTGTGCCAAATGTCAAGTAGATTCTCCTGTGGAAGGAGAACAGAGCAGAAATACATAGTGATTCTTAACAAATCACTCCTGAATGACTTTAAATGCATAAATGCCTTTACGTTTCTAATTCATCTGTGCAGCAACGTTGTGAGGTCGGTCGGTCACCGACTACTATTCTTTTACTCAAGGGTACCCAACCTTTTTGAGGCACTTTTAGCACAGGGTGGTGGGCACAACCACAAAATGGTCTCCGTAGGAGGTGGACCTGCACACATGCACACACAGAAGACAAACTGCAGGGAACAACAAGAGTTGTTCCTAAAAATGTACTGGGAAAGAGGAGTGGAAGAGAGAATGAAACTGATACTGTTATTGTAATCTGCACGGCCAATAAGATCTCCAATCCCCAATCAAAAGCCCTGTTGGGCAATAGCCCTACCTGGCCTTGCCCGCTTTCTAAAAACACCAGGAAAGGCACCATGCAGGGGACCGCCTGCTTTAACGGCATTCTCCCCAGCAGCGAGCTTTACAGCAGAATGCTCTAGGCCAGCACTGCTGGCTTCATGCAGTCATGTCTGGGCAACTTTTGCCGCACCGTGAATGCTCTAGGCCAGCACTGCTGGCTTCGTGCAGTCATGTCTGGGCAACTTTTGCCCCCCGCTTTCAGGTAGTAGCCAGTGTTCTCTCAAGCAACCAGGATGGCGTTCCTGCCACAGACCAGCGGAAATATGATGCGTTTTGTTATCTGTTTGTACAAAGCCTTAAGTTTTGTCCTGGAACTTCTGCTGGAGAGGTTTTTAAAAAAAGATCAGTAGTTTTAGAGATCTTAAGTATTGTGTTGTGAGAATGGCAGGTGCTCCCTCTCGATGCGCAGTAAAGCATCCACTTCCCAGGAGTCCACATCGAACACTCTGTCCACTGAGCTCTATTAACCTTCTGTGTTTTTTGAGAGTCCTGCATTTATAGTGTCTCTTTTTTCATTTTCTGCTCCTTGTCTTTCGGCTGCGCATAGATTCATCTGCCTCCCATGGGCCTTGCGAGCCAGCAAGGCCGTGCATTGCGACATCAGGAAAAGCTGAGGAAACTTTCCAAGCCCGTCTACTTGAAATCTCATGATGAAATTTTATAATCCAGTATCAGGCTACAGCCTGTCGTCACCCTGGACTGCCTGGCAAACGCATTCTGGGCCAGCGAGCGTCAATGAAACTGTTGTGGTTTGCACCCGCTGCCTCTTTCTCAGAAGTCAGACGCCCACCTGATCCTAGCAGGAGGCACGGGAAGGATGAACTCGAGTTGGCTTGTCTTTGCTGAGACTCCACGCAACTGACTCATCAATAAAAGTGAGAATCTTTGTGGTCAAGCAAGAGATGAAATGAAAACCAGAGCCTGACACATCTGATTGTTGTAGATTACTGTGTGTGCTGAAGGTTACTGGCTCCTGTGGCTTTCAGAAAGCCAGTGTGGTGCAGTGGTTAGCATGTCAGGTTAGGGCAAGGGAGAGTGAGGTTCAAATCCCTGTTTGGCCATGAAACTCACTCCTTTGTCCCACGGTTCTTTCTGTGCCTCGCCCACTTTGCAGAATTCTTGTGTGGATTATGCCACCCTAAGCCCCATGGAAGAAACGTGGGATAAAAATGTAACAGATAGAAGGAGAGAAGATGCGGAAATGTCCTGAGTGTATCTGAATCCCAGGCATTCCTCCCGTTTGTTGTCACTCACTGAGCATCCTATGATGTTTTGCTAAACTCTTTTGTTTCAAAGTACCTGTGAGGTGAGCCTTGTGTGCAATGTTCCCCCTAAGCTGCTGAGCCCTGTGAGCAAAAATTCTACTTTGTGAGCTATTGGCATTAAAGTTGTGAGCAGGTGATTTGGCTGCTGCATAAATTAGTTTGCACTGGAGCCCTCCTTCCTGAGCTAAGACAAAAATGTGTGAGCCAGAGGCTAAAAAAGTGTGAGCTAGCTCACACTAACTCAGCTTAGAGGGAGCACTGCTTGTGTGGTAGGTGGGGAAGACCTCCAGTAGTCTTCTCTCCTACATGTAGAGTCTCTCCTGCTGGACATCCACATGTTTCTTGGGGGAGGGGAATATTTGCACGAAAAATTCAACTCAGGGAGATCCAAACACTGCCGTTGCTCACCCAGATAAAACCCAGGCATCAGCCACGCAATGCGGACCTGGTGGTGGACTTTTGGAGGCGAGACAGGCGTTTCTGATGGGCAGAGAGGGAAGACTATTGGGCCATTCTGTCACTCCTGCTCCGGACTTCTTTTTGCACATTGTTCTGAATTTCAAATGCAGTCCTCAACATGCCGCTCACAGCCTAGGACATATATACATAAGGTTGCCAACTTCCAGGTGGGGCCTGAAGCTCTCCCGGAATGAATACAGACCACAGAGACCAGATCCCCTGGAGAAAAATGGCTGCTTTGGAGGGTGGACTCTGTGGCATTGTACCTTGCGGAGCTCCCTCCCCAAACCCCGTCCGCTCCAGGCTCTACCCCCCAAATCTGCAGAAATTTCCCAACCCTAAGTAGGCACCTGCACTCTCCTAAGCGTCTCTTTCTCCAGACCAAACGACATCCGTTGCTGTGGTTCCAGGGGCTGTTTATATGTACCCCAAAAAGCAGATATGGGGGACTGGGTTCGTAGTGTTGGGTAAAGCTTTTTTTTTTATTAACTCTCCCCCTCCTGACCCATGCCATTTCCCTCAATCAAAATAAAATAAAAAAGGACCCCACATGTTTGATCACTGAACTTCTCTTACACCACAGTCCCACCTCCTATCTCCTCTATCCGTCTTCCCGCTGCTTTTTAGAACCAGATCACACGTCTGGAGTTCCAGTCACCGAACTTCTCCGTTTGGCCCTCCTATATTCTGACTTGCTTAGGGATGTGTAGACTGTCTACACAATGTGTAGAGTTGTTCTAGTTGTAATTCTGGAGGCAGCACTTCATTTGGAAGTGTCTCACTTTGCCAAAACAGACCCCCTCCAATTGGTTCACATTTTGCTCGAGGCACCGTTTTTGTGACAACTCCATGACTGCCCATCCAGTTTATCCCATCAGCCTAAGATGACAGTCCTTCGCTTAGGCATGTGGTGAGCTTTTTTGGGTGGTTGTTTTTTCAGGAAGAAGATGGACAGGCTCTTTGTGAAATGAATCTCTGAGCCGCAGTTCCAGAATGCCGCTTCAGCATGTCACCCCCCTGCCCGTTTTGCCGTCTGAACATGTGATTGATGTGATTGCCATGTCTTGAGCATATTTGAATCTGAACAGGTAAAAAGCACCCGGCCACCCACGTGAACTAGCCCTTCAGCTTGGGGATTGCTTTTTTGCTGTGGGGGGAAAAAAAGGCATACTCACTGCTGCATTCTGCTCTTGAAGTGCACGATAGACCCATCCTTCCTGTTTACTGACCAAGGGACTGTGCACAGCAGTGACGGGCTGGTCTTTGTGATAATCACAGTTCCTGCCTCCCCTCTTCTTCGGGGCAGTTTTTCAAGTGATGGTGTCAGTTAAGCAAAAAAATCAAGTCAGGCTCCAAATCAACATTTATTCAGATAAACATTTAGAGTGCTAGGGAAAAGGGAGAGGGAGAGAGAGGAGGGAGTTTCAATTTATACCCCACCCTTCACTCAGAGTGGCTTACAATCTCCTTCCCCTCCTCTCCCCACAACAGACACCCTCTGAGGTAGGTGGGGCTGAGAGAACTCTTTGAGAACTGCTCCTGAGAGAACAGCTCTGAGAGAAAAGAAGGTTGCAATTACCAATGCACCCTCTAAGCTGTGGAGTCTTGTGAGCAAAAATTCTACTTTGTGAGCTACTGGCATTAAAGTGAGTGATTTGGCTACTGCATAAATTAGTTTGCTCTGGAGCCATCCTTCCTGAGCTAAGACAAAAATGTGCGAGTGGGAGGCTAAAAATCTGTGAGCTAGCTCACACTAACTCAGCTTAGAGGGAACACCAGCACTTACCTGTAACCGTTGTTCATCAAGTGGTTGTTCATCGAGTGGTCTTTGGTGCAGGCACACATGGGGACTGTGCATTTGCAGGCCAGCCACAGAAAAGATTTCCGGGCTTTCTAATAGACTAGGAGTGACCCTCCTCCCTCTGCCGTTTTCCCGCCAAAACACTCACATAGCTTTCCCACCAGAGGAGGGGAGCTTTCCCGCCAGAGACCAACCCCTAGAAAACTAAAGTTCCAGAGAGTTCACAGCGGGGCAGGAGGGAGAGATGTGTGCCTGCACAGAAGACCACTCAATGAACAACGGTTACAGGTAAGTGCAACCTCGTTTTCATCGTCATGGCTTCTGTGCAGTCCCACATGGGAAGATTAGCAAGATCACTGAGTGAAGGGAATGGGTATGAATCTCTCAGAAGGAGACCAAAAAACCCAGGTTGCTTACCTGTAACTGATGATCTTCGAGTGGCCATCTGTGCAGTACCACACATGGGTTGGGCGCCTGCACATGACCTCGACCAGAGAAAATTCCAGAGCTTTGCCTCAGAAAGCTTTTGGCGGGCTCTCTTCCCGCCCTGGGAAGCAGGCATGTACTGCGCATCCCTGGAGCGGGGGAGAGAGCCGCCTCCCACTCAGTTCCTTTGACCACTACTGGTAAGTCCCATCAAGCCAAAGAAAGGTGAACAGGAGATGCCAGCAGTGGGGAAGGCTGGGTGGGATTGTGGTACTGCACAGATGACCACTCGAAGATCATCAGTTACAGGTAAGCAACCTGTTTATCTTCGTCGTGGTCTCTGTGCAGTCCCACACATGGGTGATTACAAGAGCTGAACCAGTTGGAGGAGGGAGCTGGCAGCTGCAAGAGACACAAAGAATACTGGTTAAGACGCAGCATCATCAGCGGGAAGAAACACCCACGGGTCCTACCTGGAGATGTAGCAGGGTCAAGCGAAGAGAGATCGCAGCAGCGACTGGCCGAATGCAGCATCCCGTCGAGCTCGGACGTCAAGTGTGTAGTGGGTCACAAAGGTCGATTCCAAGGACCACGTAGCAGCCACACAGACATCCTCCAACGGGACACCAGCCAGGAAAGCAGTGGATGTCAATACCGCTCGTGTAGAATGGGAAGTGACAGAGGTAGGAACGGGTTGAAGTGCAAGCGCATAGCAAAGGGCTATGGTGGAAGTCACCCACTTAGACAAGCGTTGAGAAGAAATTGGCTCCCCCACATGAAGGGGGCCATAAGCAAGGAACGGCTGGGGAGATTTATGTATAGGCTGAGTCATATGTAAATAAAAACACAGCACTCTGCACACATCGAGGCAGTGGAGGGCTCTCTGAGGTGCATCAGTCGGAGTTGGAAAGAAAGAGGGTAAAACAGACGACTGGGACAGGTGAAAGGCAGAAACGACTTTAGACAGGAAAGAAGGATCTGGTCTAAGGACAACCTTCTCCTTATGGAAAATTGTATAGGGGGATCAGCCCAAAAGGCAGCTAGTTCCCCTACTCTGCGCACAGTAGTAATCGCTATAAGGAAGGCAGTTTTCCAGGAGAGTAACCTGAATTCGGCTGTGGCCATGGGCTCGAACGGCTTAGACATCAGTTGAGTGAGAATGAGAGACTCCACGAAGGCACCAAAGGCTTCCTAGGGGGACAGAGGTGGAGGAGACCTTTGAGGAACGACTTGGTAAGGCGGTGGGAAAAACCTGTGTATCCCTGTATCAAGGGATGGTAGGCCGAGATGGCCGCTAAATGGACCTTTAAAGACGAGTATGCCAGGCCAGTATTCTTTAACGAGACGCGATAGGAAAAAATCTGACGGACAGACAACTGGAGAGGATCAAAGGACAGATCAGAGGCATATGACTGGAACCTCTTCCACTTCAGAGCG